ATATATATATATATATATATATATATATATATATATATATATATATATATATATATATATATATAAACATATACATACATATATGAGAGTCATGCTTAGAGTTACTCATTCCGGTATAAAGCCTGTATAGTTTTCTGTAAACTAATTATTTATTATTTATTTATTTTAGTTTTATTTTCGTTTTTTTTTTTGTAAGCCATAAAAAGAAACAATAATCAACAGAAGTGTTTAAAGACACTTCTGTATGTAATGAATCCATATATCATGGGTTTCGCTTTTTGTGGAGTGATTTTTCTGCCAAAACGTTGTGTACAAAAATGCATGTTGAGCACACTAAAGCATGTTGCAAATGCATAAAGCATGTTTCACACAAAAAAACGCGGCATGAGTGGATGGATAGATAGATATTTTAAGAAGAGGGAAACGCTATCTGACGGGGTTTAGAAGCCCATCAGATACCATTCCCCCTGAAATTGAAAACTGGGGATGTCTAATTCTGAAATCCTGTGTGTTTGGGTTGCTATAGAAACTGCAACATCCATCCATCCGTCTGTCCTTCCGTCTGTACATCCAGATTTTTCCCTTTCTAACTTTCTTTCCTTTTATATAGGCTTGCACGGTGAATCGTGCCACCTGCACTGTGCGGAGATGCAGGGGAAACCGTATCTGATGGGAAAACACTGCTCGACGTAACACCTGCACATTTCAGTTGTTTTGATTGTATGGCGCCTCCTGCTGTCGGTTAGTCAAAATGACAATTCCCCATGTATCACGTGACCTTTGGCAGAATCTTACTGCGGAGTGTGAAGAATTCTTATACGCAAGGAGAGGCTGTTTTGGATGCGAGCAGAGATCGTTTTGTACTCGGGGACAATTTACAAACTATATTTTCAGTGCAATGTTAGAGTCCGGTTTGTAAAACAAATTTTTGTGTGTGTGCAACATTTAAGGACAGTTTGAAAAAAAAGTTTTATTTGTGTGTGACATTAGATGAGAGTTTGTAACACAAGTTTTATTTGTGAACAATAAGATTTATTTCAGTGCAAAAGGTTTATTTGTAAGTGATAAGATTTGTTTGTGTGAAACATGCTTTATGCATTTGCAACATGCTTTATGTGTGTGCACAACATGCATTTTTATACACAACGTTTTGGCAGAAAAATCACTCCATACTTTTCATACTAAATTACCTAAAATGACTCAACATCATTTTCAAAGTTTTTGAGATGTACTTATCTCCTCTGATAAAATCTCTCCACTGTCAGCAAAAAAAAATCCATGAGATCCACATCATCCATAAAGTCAGAACCTTTGGCACTTTGAGGATGGAACTGGAAGCCATGTTAGGATTCCAGTTTGTGTGGGTTGTTTTTGTGTTTTTCTTCTCTCCACCACCAGATGGTGCCCTGTCCTCGTTGGGCCTCCTTGCACACCTGAGGCTCGTTGGGTCATTACCAGAGGAGTATTTGAGCAGCGGGCTGTCACTACCTCAAGGCCAGAGTGTTTGCCAGTACTGGGTGTTCTAGCCATACTGAGATAAGCAGAGTCTAATCTTAGTCTTGTCTCTCTGAATCTAAGCTTGTTTTGTCTTTGTTCTTCATCAGGAAGCCTTCCTGAAACACTGGATAAGCCTGGACCTTCAACCCCTCCCGGAAGGATTATCTGAGTCACACTGAGCAAGGGAATACCTCCACATGATCCGTTCAAGTCCACTTCTGGAAAACAAGGTGACAGTCCGCTCCTTTACTCCTCTGGGTCCAACGTTAGTCTGCCTGTCCGCTCTCCAACGAGTTCCTTCCTCTCTGGACAAACTGGATCCCAGGAATGACCAAGACCCCCCCAAAGCATGAGTGCCTCTCCAGCAAAATACAAGTCTCAGTCCTTTTTTTCCCACGGTCCCTGAACTGATCATAGTGATCTCCCCTTCAGAGTTACCAGTTCACCAGTCCGCTGAGGTCCAACATTATAACCCAGCAGAATATCTCTTTCCGTCTGTGTTTCTTTGCTAACCTTCAATAAACCTGTTAACTTTTACCCTTGGTCTCTGAGTGTTTCTCTGCATGTGGGTCAGATCTTTAAAGCCCATCATGACAAACCATACATAATTGCAAGATCTCTTATGGTGGCTTGCCACAAAGCATCACCAGTGGCCATCTTACCACAGGCAGACTCTCTCAAGGCCTAGAACATAGGAGCCAGTATTGTAGGCAAACAGACAGTTAAGGTCTCAAAAAGCATTTATTTAAAAACGACGGATTGGCAGTGGACAGCTAGGGCATCTAAGGCTGGAACCTTAAATGCGTTCTTGTAAATTGAGAAACGGTCTAATTTATTTGGGGACGACTTCACTGACCATTTTTTAACTCTTGAGAACAGCTGTTAGCCTAGAGATGTTTGGTTAATGTGACTACAACAAAGAAGAAAACAGCACCGTCTGAAGTGGCGGGATATCCAGAAAAGTAGCCAATCACAGGCAGTCTACTTTCTCTAGCTGGTTCTCTAACTGACAAAAGTTGACAAAATAAAAGATTCAAAATTCAGGTGAGGAGTAGTTTTGGTTCGTTTTAAACAAACGTGTATCACGTGTGTGTGCACTTTTTTTTATCAGAACTTTGACTTCATCCTATTAGTGGACGTCAAGGCTGAAAACCACAGAGCCGTTTTAGGGTGATTACACTAAATTCAGCTTTATTCAGAGCCATGACACCAATTCCAATTAGGTCAACACAGTGCATACATGGCATCAAACACATAAATCCTCCCAATATGGGAGAATGATTCAAGTCGGACATTGCAGTTTGATCAGGTCTTTCCTGTAGACAGTACAGAATAACATTCAGCAATAGAAAAAAACACTGCCATAAATAACAAGAGGTTTTTAGATCAACAAAAGGCTGGACGTTTCAACTGGTTGTCAAAAATATCGGGGGGGTTATCTTGGCAAATAAGTCAATGTGTGGGGAATGAAGTGGAGCCTGAGCTTTGGTGCGTCTGTGGGAGGTGTATTTTTTGCTGTCCAAAACAGCATTACTCCTCCGTCTGCATGGCCCCAGCCACATCCTCTGCTTATTTAATTATAGTGCAGCACCAGATAATCATTATTCCAGTGATCCAGTACCTATACGTAACCCTGCACAAGTTGTGGGGGGGGGGCTTAGCTTAAGATCAGAGAGTTTCATCTGTTGTTCTGAAAGAAGCTGATTTTTCCATTCCTGTAGAACAGCCGAAGCAGGAGAAACTCCTTGTTGGATCTAAGCTTCAGAGGAAGCCTGGGGTTTGAGGTGGGCCTTCTCCATGGTTGTTCCGTACGGATCCGACCTTTTAAAAAAGCCCATCTGGAAGGAAAATCAAAAAGAAAACATTGAAATTGAGCCAAAAAACTCAAATCTTATCTGTTCATGGTTAATTTCTTACAGTGGTTATTTGAATAAATACAAACAAAACAAAAAAAAACAAGAAAGTGGTGTTCTGCTAAACCTTTTTTTAAACACAGAATAATCCAGTGCACGCAAAAATACATTCTTTAAAGGTTATTTGTTAAAAAGTACGGAAGCCAGGAGCGGTCGTGTCCCTCCGATACCTTTTCACTGTGGTTTTCTCGACAAAACCAGTTAATTTTCCGGGGACCTCCATTATATATAATAATGGAGGTCCCCAGCGCCCGAGGCAGAAAGGTCCATAAAAGTCCACAAAAAACGTGTCAATATTCCTCCATACTGCTCGTCCAATGTATTCCAAGTGTCCTGAGTGGGTAGCATCCAGAATTTACTCGAAACGAAGTCATTTAGAATGTTTTTAGAGCATAAACAGTAGTGTATAGGATTTCCTGAAAGCGCGCACCTGCGCGTTCACGACGCTACGGAAGCCGGCAGACCAAACCAGATGAAAGTGCGCATTCAGCGTCTGCTCTACCGATAATGCAAGCGTAGAAGAAGAAATGTGCTGTTTACCTGTGCAAAGAAAGAAACAACGAAAGAAAAATGTCTGAGGACTTCAGTGTTGAGGAAGAGCATGAGTTCTTTGCTGAGCTCAATGCGCACTTTCGTCTGGGTTGGTCTGCCGCGGTGTCCGTAGCGTCGTGAATGCGCTTTCAGGAAATCCTATACACTACTGTTTATGCTCTAAAAACATTCTAAATGACTTCGTTTCGAGTAAATTCTGGATGCTACCCATTCAGGACACTTGGAATACATTGGACGAGCAGTATGGAGGAATATTGACACGTTTTTTGTGGACTTTTATGGACCTTTCTGCCTCGGGCGCCATAGACCTCCATTATTTGAATGTCAGCAGACAGCAAGAAGCCTCCCAGATCTCCAGATGCATTTGAGATATCAAAAAAGTACTCCAGAGTGTTGTTCAGCATGGGGGTGAGTAGAAAATGAAGGCTAATCATGTTTTGGGTGTACTATTCCTTTAAGTTAACGATGCAACGGTGTTGATTTGATGATTTGCTTCAACTTCTGATTCATAATAAATTAGACCTATGCCTCCGGCGCCGTAGTGCCTGGTGTTTTATAAACAGCCCAGGTGTTACGCTTGTAACAGTTATAAGATGCATTAACCCCCCAAATGAGTCCAGATTAAAGATTTTCATGGAACTGTATTCCATGCAATCCAATCGTCCAGCACGACCTGACGATGAGTGAAAAGAAAAAGTAAACTAAAAAAACTGGGGGTTTTTTTGCGCACACGCGGTACCGCAACTGCACACACCAAGGGCAGCACAGGCATGAATGGACTGGGAATCCAGGGCTGTTGGCCATCCGCATTCATTACTCGTACAGGCTTATCATCTCGTTATCTCAAGAAATCAACTGTTTTCTCCTGATAACGAGAAAATTATCCTGTGATCTTAAGAAAACAATTAATGGTTAAACAGATAACAATATAGTTACGTCATCATCTCAGGAGGACAAAGGAAAAAAATTATGAGTTGAGTATGACCGCTTTCAGCTTCCGTAAAACAGGCTCAGTAAAAGAATGTTTTGCATGTTTCTGTTTGACACCAGCAGGTTTCACGCAGTCTTGGTCTGTAGCAGGTGGGACATTTAACTGATAACAGCATTTCCTTTAGTTTCCACGCATTCATACAGTACAGCTGATGTAGCAACCTGCTCCTCACTCCCTGCTCGATTAATTGATTTACTTTATTGATTTCACAGTAAAGAAATTTACTCCTTCCCTCATCTCAAATAGTCAAAAGATAAGAAGGTGCCAAAGGAAGAAAAAGGTGCAGGGAGTATATACAGTATACACAGTGCATCAACATATGACAGCTGAGGTCTTTTTTTTTCTTTCTTTTTTTTTATTATACAGGCTTTTTGCACAGCGTATTTACATGGATATCTATATAGACTGATATATATATATAGCTATTGCACTAGGTATCAAATATAAAGAAAGGTTATTGCACATTATACATTGCACAAGTAACTGCTGTTGCAGTGTCGTTCCTCCATTGTAGAGTCTGGTGGCAGCAGCGATTAATGACCTGCGATAGCGCTCCTTTTTACAAACGGGGTAAAAGTCTTTCACTAAAGAAGCTGTTTAGATCCTCCACACTCTGGTGCAGGGGGTGAGAGATGTCGTCCAAGATAGATGCAAGCTTGGACAGTACCCTCCTTTCAGCCACTTCCTCCACGGAGTGCAGCCTAGGACAGAAACAAGGGTTGATGCCACCACAGAGTCATAAAAGGTTTTAAGCAGGGGCCTGCTCACTCCAAATGACCTCAGCCTCCTCAGGAGGTGGAGGCGGCTCTGGCCCTTCTTATACAGGGCGTTGGTGTTTTGAGTCCAGTCCAGTTAATTATTGACATGAACACCCAGGGATTTGAAAGTCTAAAAAGTTTCCATGTCTTTCCCCTGGATGTTCAGGGGATAGTGAGGTGGAGGTCTTCTCTTGAAGTTGATCACCATCTCCTTGGTCTTACTGGTGTTAAGACACAGGTGGTTCCTCTCACACCAGTCCACAAAGTTCATGATAAATCAGAGAAAATCTGGAGATAGCAGCTGTCTGTGTTGTAGGTGTCTGGGTTCTGCCCTCTGCTTGGGTTTATTTTTAAGTTTCTTTGTACTCTGTGTCTTTGTAGTTTATTTCTGCCAGTGCTGAGTTCTTTAGTTACCCTCTGTTGCTCCCTTGTGTTTGTTTTCCTTTCCCCTTGGTGTCCTCCTAGTTGGTCTTGCCCACACCTGCTCCCAATCTGCTGATTAGCCTGTCTTGGTTCAGTCTCCCAATATACACTCCACCTCTGCAGTCAGTGCTGGTTCCTTGTTGTTGTTTTGCTACTTCCTCATCTCTGGCTCCCCACGTGAGTTTCCCCCTGATGTTTTTCTGTATTTTTGGTTCTTTTAATTTTTTCACTTTAGATTTTTGCCTCAGTTACCTTATTAAATCTGTAAGACTCGCCTCTGTCTCCAGATCTCTGCATTTTGGTCCTCAAGAACCTCCACTCAGATAGGTTAAGTCCAAGGTGTAAAGTGTGAAGAGGAAATGGTGCCGTGGGGGCCCCTGGTACTGCAGACAAGTACCTCTGACTGACAGCTGTGCAGCCGTAATTACAGAGGGCAGTCGGTGAGGTAGGTATGGTCAAGGCAGCAAGATGTCTGTCCCCTCAAGCGTACTCCATTTTCCCCCTTAGCAGCTCTGGTCTGATGGTGCTGAAAGTGCTGCAGAGTCAAAGAACATGACTCTCACCCGTTCTCCAGGTGGATGAGCACCCAATGCAGCAGGTAGATGATTGCATCCTAAACTCGAATGTCAGGTTGGTAAGCAAACTGCAGCAGGTCCAGGGTCAGGCTCACCACGGTGCGCAGGTGAGCTAGGATGAGGCGCTCCATGGTCTTCATCAGTTGGGAGGTCAGGGTGACTGGTCTGAAGTAGGCCGGTTCTTTGGCGTACAGTGTTTTGGGAACCTTTACCAAACAGAAGGTCTTTCAGAGAATTGGGACCACCCCCAGGCTGAGGACCTCACAGAGCTCATCAGCACAGTTTCTCAGCAGCCTTGGGGGGACCAGAGGCTTTCCTCTGTTTCAGTCTCTTCAGCTGGCCTCTCACCTGCATCGAAGTGACTGTGAGGGGGGAGGGAGGCAGGACAGAGGGTTTCAGTGGGTTGGCGGATGGTGAGAGTGGCGGTGAGGGCAGGTCACTGGTGGCCTAGGGGTTGTAGACATGTTGAGAGTTGAGGACAGGGAGCGGGCTGCAAACTTGGTGTCACAGTCTGCAGCCCTGTTAGTGGTCCTCTGCCCAAAGCTGGAGATGTTCTTGAGACCCCTCCACGCATCTCTGACGTTGCTCTGTGCCAGTTGCTGCTCCATCTCCCTCCCATAGTTCTTCTTTGCAGCCCTGATCCTCCATTGGAGCTCTCGCTGGACTCTACACTGCTCTTCTGTCCCCTGAGGTGAAAGCCCTTTTTTTCTGGTTAAGGGAGACTTGCAGCTCAGGAGTCATCCAGGGGTGATTGTTTGGAAAGCTCTGTAGCCGTCGTGTGGGCACAGTGGTCTCTACACACAAGGTCATGCAGTCAGTGATACATTCAGTCAGGCTGTTGATGTCATTACCATGAAAGCTTTGGACTATGCTCCAGTCTGTTGTTCTGCAATAATCCCTCAGTTTCTCAGTGGCCTCATCAAACCAAATTTTCACTGACCTCTTCTGCCCTATTGCCCTTCTCACCACTGGTAAAAATTGGGGGAGCAGTTAGACATGATTATAATCTGAGCGTCGTGGTGGGGGAAGGGGTGCGGAGGTGTAAGCGTCTTTGCATAAAAAGCGTCCAAGGTTTTATTGTCTATTGTTTTACACGTAACGTACTGGGTGAGCATGGGGAGGGTGAAACGGAGGAAGTCTCCAATTATTAGCGGGAGAGTGCGGGGGTGCTGTGTCTGCAGCCTGGTCACTGCACCGTGGATCAGCTTACATGCGGTTGTGAAGCCCGCAAAGGGGGGCACAGAGCACCACGTTCCCAAACTCTCGTGGAAGATAGCGCGATCTCATGCTCATCGCGAGTAACTCACTTATGGGGAGCATATCTGTTCCTTCTCGTCAACATGAACCGCGTTGCACACTTCTTATTCACAATCATCGCCAGCCCCCCACCTTTCTTTTTTCCAACCTCTGCTAAAGTCCTGTCTACGCCGATGAGTTTAAAGCCATCCAGGTAAACTGAGTCCGGGACAATTCCATCTACTCCATGAAGCACATGATACTCACGTCCCTGTATCTCCCCTGGAAGCGGGTTAAAGCTGCGATCTCCTTGGTCTTGTTGCGGAGCGATCTTATGTTTCCCATGACAACCGATGGTAAATATCTTTTCCTCCGCTTCATCCTGCAGCCTCTCTGTTTTATCCTTATTTCCGCAGGGATGTTTGGTCTCGCAGCGTGGAGGGGAGCAGGACTGCTGCGCATAGCGGCGCATATTTCAAGGAGCTGCTCCCAAGGGGTCCCCCATTGCAGCATCAAAAAGTGGCAAAAGTACAAGAAAGCTCAACACTATAGTCCCAGAAGTTGGCTTCCTCTCTGTGCATACTTTCAGAATATCAGATACAGTATTTACTAATAGAAAAACATTCCAAAAAACCATATAAAATAGAAAAAGTAGGAAAAGAGAACAGGTAGCCGACTTAGGCTGCTGCATGCAAAGCGCCATCATGGAACGTGCTTAAAGCCTATTTAACAGCAAAGAGAAACTATTAATGTTTATGCTGTTTAGTAAAGATTATGAATTTAAATGTAGCACCTTATATTAGACAAAATACATGTATAGCCAACATTGTGTCGTTAAGAAATAGATGCTCAGTGTGCAGGTTTTTAGCTAAGCTAATTTGCAACCTATCTCTGGTTAGACTCCCAGGACCAAAACGCATTCAGAACTGTGATTTTAAAATATAACTTTCTGGAGTGAATTTTGTTCCATTGTTCTTGAATTGAAATTTAAGGAACAAAACCCAGAAATGAAATTTTGAAAAATATTTTTGTCAATAAAAAGCTTTGGGAGTAACTTTGCTGTTTTCTTACATTTTTTTTTTATTGTTATTTCTTCATTTTTCTTCTTTTTTTTTTAAACAAATTTTATATTTTGCAATTTTAAAACTCAAAAAGAAAATTTTTGAAAAAAATACTACTCTCAAAACATTCATTCCTGGATTGTATTTTTTCTTTCCAATATCCATTTAAAAAACATGTTTTTTTTTACATCAACAATAATGGACCAAAATTCACTTCATATATTTGACAAGCCAGGAAAAACCACATATAGGATCTAAGCTAACGCCTAAGAAGTTGAATTATTTCAATGTTTTTTTTTCACCAGACCTAACTTTTATGTTTACATCAACTTTCTTTTTAAATTATTTTTCCATTTAAAAAGAAAGTTGACGTAAACACTGAGAACGCCTTTCTATATTTCAACGTTTATTATCTCTAAATCAATGTGATGCATTACGATATGTTCAAAATGCAGGTGATTGCAACCCAAACCTGCCAAATGTGACCCCTATCCAACTTTTATCTTTAGATTTTTTTTTTATCAGAATGCCCATATACTGATAGAGAACCAAACATGGAGAAGCAGCATTTAGTTCCTATGCTCCACTTATCTAGAACAAACTTCCAGAATACTAGAAAAGTGCTGAAAGCCTGAGATTCTTTGAGGTCAAACTTAAAAACCAATTTGTTTAGAGCTGCCTTTGACTGTTGGAGTTTAACTGTTAACTCAGGTATCATTAGTTTAAGGTTGTGCTCCAACTAGTTGATTTGCTTCAATCATGTTTTTGTCTTTATTCTGCTTTAATTTTTCTTCTATTTCATTAATTCATGTGAAGTACTTTGAATTTTGTTTGTACTGAACTGTGCTATATAAGTAGAATTGCATTGCTTTGCCTACTCCTCCTACATTTCTTTGTCCCATTATGATAAGATCATCATATAGTCAGCTCCCATTGTTGAAGAACTTATAACAATATATAAAGGCGACGAAAAGTTATTACTTCTGTGATCAGTGAGCTGCACTGTCCTCCTATGCTTGAGGTTCACATAGAGGCTGAGAAACAATTAGGCTGGGGTCTGATGATGACTGCATTTATGATAAGTAGAAGTCTGAACGACCATACAAAATTAAAAATCTGAATTGAGCTTCACATGCAGTGTGAATAAAGACTGAGACATTTCCTTCCAAAGTATCTTTGTTCATAAAATTAGGCTCGTCATGAAGCTGATGNTTTGTTCATAAAATTAGGCTCGTCATGAAGCTGATGTTGTCTGCAGCGTAATGTCCATCCTTTGGTTCAGGGATGTTTTTCCATTAAAAAAATCTCGTTGTTCTCTCGTTGAGAGAAAAAAAAAACAATCCAGAAAGGAAACATAGAAAAACATTGTAATTTTAAAGAAAGGCTAGCTTTTTTCCTTGATTCTATATTTATTATTATTTTTTTTTTATTGATTTTGTATTTTTTTTAATTTTATCTTTTCTTGGTTTTACTGGTTTTTAATTTGGGGAAAGAAATTATATATATATATATATATATATATATATATATATATATTATATATATATATTTATATATATATATTATATATATATATATATATATAAAACAAAATCTCAGAAAAACATTTTCAGAGTTTTTTTTTTCTAGATTTCATTTTCTTAAATTTCATTTTACAATTTTGAAAATGTTATTTTACCGAACATGGACCAAAAGCAAAAAGCATAATTTTCCTCAGATCAGATTCTTATAATGGGATGTGTTTCCTTCATCATTCCAATTTTCACCTTGTACAGCAGATATATCAGCACTGCCAGCAGCATCAGGCCAACTAAAACAGCCAGGATGATGATCCACACTGGAATGGAGAACTGGTTGTCCGGCCTACTCCATATCACAGACGCCACCACCTGGACAACAGTGATACAGCACAGCTGTCACACCTTGGACTCATGTTCACGTTTACAGTGGAACAACTAATATGGGGTGAGAAAAATGTATATATTTATATATTTTTTACAGATCATGTTNTTTATATATTTTTTACAGATCATGTTCTCTTTGCTTCTTGGGCAGGCTTTCTTCTAAATTTAAGAACAATGAAGCATTTCTATTGGACATGGAGGTTACTAAGGGTAACACTTTCTTTTACAATTCATCAATAACCATGTAATAACATGGTAATCACTTAGCAAGTCACACTATATTTGTCATGATCTGGCCTGTTTGCTCTCCCTTAATTAGTCATTCCTTTCACCTGTTGTTTTTCCCTCCCTGCCTCAATTATAATTTATTCCTCTCACCTGTTTCCTCTAGTTTATATTCAGTTCAGCCTGAGCATTCAGGGCCAGATCATTGCTTGTCTTTTTGTTAGTCTGTCTGTTCACTTTGATTTGATGGTTCCTGTCCTGGATCCTAGCTGCCAGTGGAAAGAGGGCTTTAGTGTTTGTCTTGTCTCCTGACTGTCCACTGTTCCTCCCCTGCGGAGTCCTCTGGGTTTTTGGCTAATTATGGGGGGAGGTTCAGTTTTTATCAAAGTAAGCCTGGCTCCAGGAGGAGACCAGTTTAAAGTCCTGCTTCAAGTTCCGGTTCCTACGTCCTGTCTTGGCTACCCTCTTCCACTGAGCCTGCCTGTCTGCACCTGATCCTGTCTGCTCCTGTGCGTGACCACCCGGTCATGCTTCTGGTCCCAGTCAGACTCTGAACCCTCCTGGGAGCCTGTGGATGCCTGGAAGTCTGGATCCTGCCTGATCTGGATTCTGTCTGTTCCTGTCTGTTCTGGATCCCTCACCAGGATTGGCTTCCAGCATCACCTCTGAGACTGCAGCACTGGGGACATTCGTGGTCTAGACTGTTAAACCAGGTAAGTGACCAACACAGATAATCTTCTATCAGTTGATCGTGGTCACTTACCTGTGTTTCTCCCCCTAGAGTGTCTGAGATGGGGCGGTGCCCCGCCCCCCTGCCAGCAGTGTCCGCGAGCCACAGCTCCGCTTTTGTTTTGTTTTATTTATTTAATAAACGTTTTGAACTTTCCTACTGACTGTCTCTCCTTGAATACTGGGTCCATCTGTCCGCGGTTCATGACAATATTACTTGTTAAGTAAAAGAAAACCAAGTCCAGTGGATATTTTTTGAACTTTTACGGAATGACTATGACCTGGATGACTGAGAATCTTCATCAGCACTATGTTACTTGGTAACTAGAATATTGTATTTGGTAATTACACCAAAATAATTACCTGCATGCAGTTATTAGAATTGTATGTTACTATGTCATAATGAAGACCTTGGTGGGTGATTACCAATAGGTTAGCACATAACAGTTTGTTTTATTGGCCACCATGAACCAATGGCTTATTGTAAAACAGAACTCAAGTTACAGATAAATAAGAGTTCAGTTTAGAAGATTGGCTTGTTGTCTTCTAGGTTTGGTTTTCTGTTATATCCCAAGTAATACACTGCATTTTAGTAGACAATAACAAATTTATTTATTGCTGTCAGTGAAATGACTGAGTTACTTGTTAATAACTGTTTGAAATCTAAGAAGTATAACTTTATCTGGTCTTNAGTGAAATGACTGAGTTACTTGTTAATAACTGTTTGAAATCTAAGAAGTATAACTTTATCTGGTCTTCCTAAAATTCAGTTCAATTCTCCATAAAGGTTTTGTTGTTACCTAGTAACATAGTTTAACCTGAAATGTTATTACCATGTTATTACATGGTTATTGATGTACTGTAAGAGAAAGCATTACCAACATTGGTAATGGTCAGCTGCACGATTGATTTTCCATATGTAAATCTCAAAAAAAAATTGGAAAGATTTGGAAAAAAAAAATAGAATAAAAAATATTAAATCTGCAAGAATATTGAAAAGGAAGTTTAGAAATATAACATTTGAAATAAACAAAATAAATATATATATATGTATATGTATAAAAAACAGAAAACAAAAATCTGTGAAAAAAAAAATAAGCTACTCTTAAAACCTTTTTTATCATTTAAGAATTCAAACTTTAATTTCTGTACAGCAAAAATTTAAGTTTGAACCAAAATTCACTCCACACATTTCGAGCAGCGGCCAAGTTCAGTGTTAAACTTTAGGAAGTTACCTTGTTTGATCCGGATGGCTTTGATTTGGGAAGTATGGAATACGGCATCTTTTTGACTTCATAGTGAACAGAACATTCCAGAACGTGCTGCTTGTACGGGCGCTGCGGACGAACAGATAAGGGATGACATGAAGCACAGTGCAAATTTACAACAGGAAGTCAAGGAGATCTAGTCTTAGTCTTCATGGAACTGATCTTCTTCAATCACTGCAGAATAAAAGATTATATATTGTCCACTAGGGGGCGGTGTGAGAAGGCAGATGGAATGAAGCTTTGTTGGTTTTGCTGCACTGTCACTGTTGACCTGAACTACATGTAAAAATGATGAGAAATATGTGCTGCAGGCTAGTGTAGGCCAACCAGACTCACCTCCATGAAGGTTTCAGCCCAGAGTCTGGAGCGTACAGTCAGGATGACGCTGCTTCCTTTCTCCAGCCGGTCAACATCACAGCGGAGCATCCAGCATTCCACTGAGCTGCACGTCTGCAGGATGACAGAGTCCACAATAAAAAAACAACCTTTTTTTGCAGGTATGAAAGACCAGGAGTGACAAAACATTAAAATCATAGATATATGGCAGGAGTTTTGAATTGCAAATTTTAAATAAAAGAGTACTATTATGGTATTTGAAATACTGTAATTTGAAAATGTAATCCTTACATCGTATTTCTAAACAGAGATTTAAAAACACAATCATTAATCTAATGATAAATATTTTTTCTAGTTAAACATTCGAAAAGAAGATTCCTTTTTCATTTTGCATATTCAAATGCTTTTTGCAATTTCCCTTCACTTTACCCCTAAAGAATTGATGACAAATCCAAAAGAAGGACAATATAAATGGAAACAAAAGCGCCAAGAAAACCTTCTAAAGAGAATAAAGGAACTTAAAGCTTTAGGAGCATCAGAGTCAGATGAAACATCCGTTGTTGTTTGAACCAAAGTGGACTTAATGCGAGACGACAAAGAAGGAACCATTGGTGGAAATAAATCAAAAAAAAGCCAGAATGGAGTTTGCCAAACTAAATGTTGATA